ATCTAGGATAACTCCTTTCACATCTAACACTCTCATTAGCATTCAATCGCATCATGGGCACCTCCTTTCGCATCCAACACTCTCATTCGCATCCAATCACATCCAGGGTACCTCTTTTCACATCCAACACTCTCAGTCGCATCCAATCTCAAACTTTTGACTCCTCAACAACCTAGATCAATCAATATCGGAAAACGAGTGTTACAACATCTTATTCACAAGAGTCAACTATTTATAAGGAAACTAAGAAATGTCGTTCTGAAAGATGGCAAATGATGTAACCAGATAAGAATGTTCAAGAACAAAGACAAATACAAAGAAGTTTTGCACTGTGGGCGATATGCTTGCTCTTTCTTATTTGAAGAAACCGGTAAACCTGAGGAACAAAATGTGTAGTTAAAGAAGAGTTATAGGATCTAGAGATTTGAGGAAGAGTGAGGTTGACTAAAATATCCCTAGAAATCTTTTAAGATCAAAATATATTCCAACATCTAGAGTTTTATGTTCATTCAAAGGGAAAGGAAATGATAGCAAGGAAATGCTTGTGAAATCATTCGATTGAAAAGGCATGGATATTTAGATCATTCAGTAAGGGTAAGAATACGGGGGGGGGGGGGGGGGGGAATATGGTCAATCAAAGTTTAGGCCAAATCAGAAATATGAAAAATGATTAATTTTTTTTTTAAAAAATTTTAATAAATAAATTTCGGAAAAAACAATTTATATAAATATTTGGAGAAAGTTGGAAACTTTATCCATTATGGATTTATTAGGAACCATAAAAATATCATCTTGATGGGTTTTGATAAATCATGCTTAAGTTGATGTTCATATTATGGGTTTAGATGGATAAAATCGGGTTTTGGGTTCCACTAAACTTTGTGCTTACGGTTTTTTGTTTATCCATTAGAATGATCCAACCAATGAAGATCTATTCTTGAAGTCTCAAAGGGACCAAAAGTGCATCTTTTCCAACTTAATCAATTAAGTCCAAATCTCAAGCTTTTAAATCTGAATTAATTTGATATTTAGATGGATAAAGTTTCCAACTTATCCATAACAAGGGCACAAGCTTTCAAAATCTAAACTTTATGCACTAAAGTGACCAAAAGATCATAACACCCAAGAGTAGCTAGATCTATCAAATGCATCATCAAAATTCAAACTTTATACCTCTAAAAGAAAGATCAAGTTGAACAAAGTCTGGATATACAAGATCCAATGCAACCAACACTTCTCCAATGAGCTCCTTATTCTCCAAGATGCACCAACAACACTCCAAAGCACTTAAAAACACCTTTTTGCTTACAAGGCTCAAACTAGGGTTAGAGTTTCAAGGGAGGGTGTTAGAGAGGTGGAGGCTAAGAATGTAATGGGGTTGAGGAAGTTAAGGAGCTTAAATAGGGCTCAAACCATGAAAATTGGGTTTAGGCACTGATCGCGTACGCCCAATGTACTCCAAGCATTCCCAACATACTCTATGAGTGCTTGGTATGCCCAACATACTCCATGTACACCCAACGTACTAGACTAAGCTCGCAAAACCTTCCTAACTTCAAACGGTAATAACTTCTTCGTTCTTACCATGTTTTCGACAATCTTTATATCAATAGAAAAGTGATTAGAAGCTCTACAATCCTATTAAAACTCATTTTCCTTTAAACTTTTTGAAATTAAATACAAAATTCATAAAGGCCTGAACTATCACTTTACGGTTATATCCATGGGCTCCAAAGCACAAACCAAACTCCTAGATCACCTAATCTACATTACCTACATCCAAAGGGGTCGCTCTCTCTCTCTCTCTCTTTCTCTCTCTCTCTCTCTTTCTTTTTTTTTCTCTCTCTCTCTCTCTCTCTCTCTATATATATATATATATATATATATATATATATATATATATATATATATATATATATATCCCCAAGGCCCGAAGCCTTATGATAACTGATCTTCAGCTTACGACCCTAAATTATGAAACGATTCGAAACAGGGTTTACACTTATGCAAGGATTGAATCGAGAAAATGCAACTGTTATTGCCTTTCCAGACCCACGTATTTAAACCTCCATTTAAGACCATACTTATGATTTTATGATGTAACTCGAGCAACTTTGTACTTTCACTACCCCTCCTTGGCCACCTTAACCATTTCCATTGATAGCTCATGGTTAATCTTCGTTAAAGTCAATCACCAACTTTACAATCTTTATTTGATTTGATAAAGTTTTGGAAAATAATCTTTAAGGACCAAACCACTACACCACTTATCCTTCAAAAAACAAGTCAAACTTTCGGATATGACTTTCAAACAACTCTTCAAGATTAATGCCCCACTCTTCCATCTCTAATATGATGATGACATATTTGACAAATGTAATTTTCGTCAGACCTGATCATTAGCTCTTGAATCACCTCCTGATTCGGTTCTAAATAAAAAGATAGCTGACCGACCCTAATGACATTTGTGCCATGATACCAAAACACGCCCCTCCTTAAGGACTCTTCTTACTTCCGCACAACGCCTTTAACTGATTGCTCATGCCAACTATGCTTGTCATCAGTCATCACAGTCGATGCCTTAAGCACAACCGTCGATGCCTCAAGCACAACCGCCAACCTCCGCCTCGCCTAAGGTACATTTACTTCTCAGATTTTTTTCCAAATTCGGATGAAACATCTTTAAATTTCTTTGTTTTTTATGAAAAAAAATCTTATTTATGTATGTTGGTACTTCTCGAAATAAGATGAAAAATCAGACCTAAAAATTGATCAATTCAGTTGTCACTTAAGACCTAAAAGTTAAAGTTTGCTTTTGTTCTTTCGTTGAGTATTTAATTTTTTATTTTTTCCATTTGATTCTTGCTTAGGTATCTCCTATCCACGAGTGTTTAAGGATGGAAAATGTTGGAGGTAATAATGTGAAAATGTCGAAGGGTATTTTGGTTATAGGTGCTAGAATTCCAAAATGGTAGCATTCGAATGAATTCAGGGAAAACAACTTCGTGTGTCTAAACAATTCAGATTGTGTAATTAGAAGAATTCATATAAGAAAAGAGGGGGAAATGCCGATTGTTGCATTAGGATTCAACTTATATTGATGAAAAGAATGAGAATATCAAAGTTATCATTGATGAATTGAAGGTGTGGCAACCAAAGATTTTTCATGGAAGGCATATGCAACGTGTTGAGTATTGTCCGGTTGACAAGGGGATTAATGTGTTGGAGTATCGTTCGTTTAAATGTTTGGAAGGGGGTTCGAGAAATAATGTCGATGTTAAATCAAGAACGTCGAAATATCATACTCTTATAACTTATTATAGTTTGAGGTGTAATTTTTGTTTCTATTTATGGATATTGTGTTTGAATATTTCTTTAAAAACTTTTGCTTAGTAAAAGGCATATAATTTAACAATGTACTTTGCTTTTTTTTTTTGTCAAATTTTTAGATGTTGAAGTTTGATGGCTAAATTGTTGTATTTAGGTAGATGTTTGAAAGTATATTAGTGTAATGGAACAAAAGGGTAGTATGATCGTTTTCATCATTCAGTTTGTCAGTCAGATGTATAATTAAACATCCAAGTTTCAATCAGAGGTAGATTCGGTCAGAGTTTCTGACTCAGTCAGCCTTTGACTTAGTCAGATCCCATTCAATCAACAACTATCAAACAACTAGTGTTGTAAAACTTGCCGAGTTGGCCGATTATTCCTCTGAGTACTCGCTACTCGACCCCTTACCGAGCCGAGTTACAAAATCCCGAGTATTCCCTGATCGGCCCCTAATTGACTAAGTAGTGTTGTCAAACCCGGTGAACTCGGTGATTAATATTATAATATATACTTAATGATTTATTATTTAACACACACATGTGATTATTACTATATATATATATATATATATATATATATATATATATATATATATATATATATATCTTAAATTTTCAGTAATTATTCACATGTATCTAAATTTATTATATATTTCAATCAACTTAAGATTTTAAGTTATGATTTTGACATAAGTTCCCTAAAAATATTTATACACGAATTACCAAATCCGAATACTTCAGAGTATTCGCTACTCGGTAGTCGGCCGAACAGTTACCGAGTAATGAGTTCTACAGCCATGCAAACAACCATAAGTTAGTTTTGTAATGTATGGACGTGTGGATATAATAAAAAACAATGAAGTTCTTAGTTATTTATTGATAAATAATTACGGAAAGTGACTATTTTAGTCCTTTTTTTTAGAAATTGCATTTTCTAATAATATCAAAATTTTAAAATAGAACATTATTTGTCCATGTAATAAAAAATTAAAAATTGAACACCAAAATCATATTTATTACATAAATGCTTTCTTCTTTACAGTAGAAATGAGAAAAATCAAATCGTAAAAAAAAAAAAAAATAATAATAAATAAACTTAGAAAATAAAGAAATCCAAACCAAACATGAAACCCATGAGTTTGTTCTTTTTTTTTCAAAAATCAAAATATTCGATTTGGTTTCAATTTTAAGAATTAGTAAACTGTAAAAAACCTAACCACACGAATTTTTATAAATTGCTTATAAATATATTTAGTTTATCGATATTATAAATTTACATAATTTTATAACAATTATTTAATTAGCAAAATAATGAGTTGATTAAGGTGGTTAACATACCTTTGGCTTATTTTTTTTTTATTTTATTATATTACATCTATCCCTACATCTATTGACGGATATAATATTTTTTGTTTTTTCATCTATAAAATAGTAATAACAACCTACAAACCTTAAGATTTAGAGTTGGACTTCATATTAATTTGGGATACTAAAACTTCCTTTTTAGTATAACGTTTTATAGTTGCGGTTTGAGTTAAAAAAAAAATCGAACCGTATCCCAAAAAACCACAACTGATTGGGTTGATATGGTTTTGGCTTTGAAAGTCAATATCTGCGGTTTTAAGAAACCGCATCATGTTCGTCCCTAAGTTTAGGGGCTTTTCCAGTTAACTTATGAAAGTCCGGGGGTGTCTTTAGCACTTTATAAATTCACTTCCATCCTCCATGGCTATTTAGCGATAAGGCGAGTATAATCTTATACTATTTTGCTGCTATTTGGAGTTAGAAAAGGAAGCACGAAACACAATCATGCTGGAACACATAACAGCAAGTGAAGTAGCCGGCTATGGAGTTGGTGCTCTTCTCCTTTGCGCCACAATTTCCGCCCCTAAGATCGATTCTTTCATCTCTGCTTCTCAACGCAGGTAATCCCTTATTGTTTTGTTTTTATCTCTAGATTCAACTGTTTAGTTGCATCCATCATATTTGGAAGTAATCTTGCACCTTTCTTATGTTTTTTCTTGATTAATTTCATCTTAGATATTTGAATGTTATTGTAGGGTTAACGTGGAAAGAAAGAAATTCCCAAATTTTCTTTTAGTTCAATGCATTCATAATCATGTGATGCAATTTTGAATCTTATTTATGGGTTTCTTCCATTTCTTTCATATTAGATAATAGAAGAAAAGTCTTGGATTATAGTAAAATAAAGTTGGAACAGCGAAATTGTCAGCTCTCACATTAGAAGAGAAAATTTTGGATTATGATTTATGGGGTAATTGGGTAAATAGGAAAGACCGAAGAGTAGAACTTGAGGAATTCATCTCACTTATCCAATCTTGAATAATTTTTATGGGGTTATGTGATTAATTTCAATCTTAATTGTTATTGTAGGGCAAATATGCAGTAAAACTAAAACACCCAATATTTCTAGATCGATGCCTTTTAAGTTCTAAGTAACTTGTTTTCTATTTATCTATTTTTATTCATTTATTTATTTTACCAGTTTGACTGTGTTAATGATATAACATAAGCAAGCTTTTCTGATGATATTTGTTGGAATACGTAGCTCATTAGGCATGTGCAAGAGATGTGGTGATCTAAGGTTGATTGCATGCTCAAATTGCAAAGGTTCTGGATCACTCAGACAAGATGGCGTATTTAGCTTAATCACTTCAGATGAAGTTAAGTCAAAGACGAGTTCTTTGTCATGCAACAAATGTGGAGCTAGAGGCCATTTCCCTTGCCCCGAATGCAGTAAACTGTAAAGTAATTCAACTTGATTGTTTTCGATTATCAGGTTTATTTGGAATTATAAACAAATATTATTAGCTTCTAAATCATCTAGCCACAATACTTGTGGAGTAACCTTAGAAGTCTGGATTATAAGGCGATGAAAGTTATATTTCGTAACATCCACATTATGTTGTAGGTTTGGGTATTGATATAAATACCAATCTGTGGATTAATGAATAGTTTAGGATCCAAAACATCATTGGAGTGCATAATGATACTAGTTTGATCCTAACAGGTGTAATATTTTTCTAAAACATCGTTGAAGTGCATAATAATACTACGTTGATCCTAAAAAGGGTAATATTTTTCAGTTGTTTATAAATAAATACAATAATATACTTATTTTCTTGCTAAAGATCATTTCGGTTTATTGGTATCTTGCATAATTGATCATTTTTGATGACTTTTATGGGGTTTATATACGAAATAATTTCATCACTTAGACTGTACGTGGACAATGTTACCAGCAGCAAACGCTGTGCCCGGTGGACTTATTGTCGGCGGCATTATGTCGATGGCAAGGTTCTACCATTCAAAAATTGGAACGTTGGAGATGTTACCGTTGCATTTTATGTCCTTTGGAGCAAGTTCGATTTTTTTAACCAAATAACCAATATATATATATATATATATATATATATATATATATATATACATACACACACACCCATTAGGTTACAATCCATGAGAACCACTGGTAAAAATCAAATATTTGTAAGTGAGGTTGGGTCCTTTTGAATTATTCATTAAAACGTATCATATTAAATTTAAATAGAGATCATATACCACAAATACCATAAAAGTAGGATATTAATTGGTGATTTATTTTGAGCTGTGATTATAGAAGGCGACCAAAGGGCTTTTAGCTTAGCGATATCCGGTGTTACCCTTCCTTCTTGAGGTCGAGGGTTCAAGTCCTATGATGGACATAGGTGAAGGATTAGGAGTATGATACATTTGCTGTTCCAAAAGAAAAAGATTATAAGAAGGTTAAATCAAAGAGGGACAAAAAGGGTATTTAACATTGAATGAAATAAGTGTTTTTGAAGGGACCCTGACATTTTACTTTTGTTATACACACACACTAGGTGAATGCCCACGCGTTGCGCAGAAACACCTATATAGTTGAAGCCTTTACAAATATATATTTTTTTAATATAAAAATAATGTTGTTAAATTTGATATAATAATTTGTATACTAAATTGATATAATGTATTGATTATTTTGAATTATATGATAATATATAAATTTACTATAACTGCATAATTTCAACTGTTTGAATGACTTTTATCAGCAAGTTATATTTAAATAAAATTAAATATAATATACGGTTTAATGTTATTTATAGTTATTGTTATTGTTAAATAATTTTTTAAAATTTATTCGCTTAATGTTTTAATTTTCTATCATTATAATTATTTAAAACATCAAATATTGTTTTTTGATTTTGAAGGTAACAATATAATAATTTATATAGAGTTATATTTAACTATTGTTATTGTAAGTTATTTTAATCTACTTATTTGAAAACTTTTAACGACTATAAAAATATCTTTAGGAAATATTTTAGTTAAATTGAGATCACAATTTATATTTTGCATTTATCACTTTTAATTATTTATAAAATATTGTTTGATTTTTTTAAGTGGAAGTGAAATTTATATTTAAGTTGACATTATAATGTTATATTTAAGATAACAATTTAAGTATTTTGTCTAAGCTTTTCAAAACTTGTAGCTTTAAACTGATAGTGATTTACATACAATAATGTATTAAATCTAATAAATTAAGTATAATGTGTTAAAAGTTAAAGACATAACTTTATAATTAGAAATAAAAATATTATTTTAAAATTGAAATTTAGTATATTTATGATTACACTTTAGGTTTGATATTTATTTAACCTTATTAACCAATTTATAATCATTATTAGAAAAAACTACAATTAATCACTTTTAACTATTTACAAAATATTCTTTGGGTTGTTTAAGTTAAACTAAAATTTATATTTAAGTTGACCGTGTAATGTTGTATTCAAATTAATAATTGAAGTATTTTATACAAATTGTTCCAAAATTGTATCTTTAAAATGATAATGGTTTACTTCCAACAATATATTAAAACTAATAAATTAAATATAATATGTTAAAAGTTAAAAAAAATCACTTAATAGGTAGAAGTAAATATATTATTTTAATGTTGAAATTTAGTTTATATGTGATTACACTTTGGGTTTGATATTTATTTAATCTTATTAACCAACTTAAAATTATTATTAGAAAGAAATTGAAAAGTCACAGAAGTTTCAAATGAATGTGGTAAAAGAAATTTTTTTTCATATATATATATATATATATATATATATATATATATATATATATATATATATATATATATATATATATATATATATATATATATATATATATATATATATATATATACATGGAACTGTATTCTCTAACCATTGGTATAAAGTGCATATAAAGAATCTCAATTTATAAATGAAGTTACATATTTGTTTTCAATCAAGAGACATATTTCTGCCATTCTAAAAAATAGACATTATTTCTAAAAAATGATGTCACATGTAGAATTTAAACACCATTTTAAACAAAGGAAGCTCACTTGTTTTATCATCACATCACTTCATCGTGTCACTAAAATGCGTTTTTAGTGACCCTTTGACATTCCGGACAATGGATACTGCATTTATTGTGTAGTTCGATTTAATATGTCCTTTATCACGTACCATTGAATTTTCATCCCAATTGTCCCATATCACTTCAATCAATTAGGCATGACCTTTTTTTCTTTGTTGCATCTCTTAAGAAGAGTTCATTTAATGGATTTCTGTTCCAAAAAAATGTTTCGTATTTATAAATCTTTTATAGATAATTTTTTTGAATTTTTTTAATATGTTCGAGTTAAAATTTTCAACAGAATATAAGATATCTTATTTTCCAAAGTAACCTGATGAGTGATGAATCTTTATGTGCTAACTTTTCCAAAGCGACCTTCATTTTAGTTTATTTCACATGAGAAGGACCTAGCTTTTCATATCTACATCATTTCAGGTTCCACATCAAAATCTAAGTAATTGATGTATTTAGTAGATATTATCTATAAAAAATATAATTTTTGATATACTAGCCGTTCATAAGAAAGATGACAAAATTTTACATTGATCCATATGGCTTCTGTATTACACATTTTTATAGCAAGTATCAAAACATACACCATTAGTTTTTGTGGTTTTATTTTAAAATATATCATTTTTAGAGCAATTATTAGAAACCCTATATTATTTGTTTTTGTGGTTTTATTTTGTTATATTGTTAGTCAAATTATGATAAGAATCATATTAAAGTGATATTGTTAATTAACATATGATAATAAGAATCACACTAACAACAACCTAATGCAATTGATTATTTATTAGAAATTGATTTTAATAAATATTCAATAAATTATTATAATAAATTAAAAAAAATATGCATTTCATAAAAATAATAATTTTAATTAGCAAGTAACATAATATGTATATATCATATAATATGATTTATTAAGTCATATATATTATTTTGGATTAGAAAGATTTTTTAGCCAAAATCCAAATTTTATATCTTTTAAAATAGTTTGAAAGCTTTTATAAAATTTGGTATTTCTCTTGGGTTTTGGAAAATTAGAAGAGATATAAAAGAGTATGGTGAAGAATACTTCTCTTTATTGCATGCTTAAACAAAATGATTAAGCATGAGAGCTAGGTGCATGATATGACAAAACAGTGACTATCTAATGGGTAAAGATTGCAAGTTAAAGACTTTCATACACTCTTCCTTTCCTCACTTCTTTTGAAGGAAATATGCTCATTTTTCTCTCATTTTTCTCACTTTAAAGTGTTATAGTTCAATTTCATATGCTCGTTTGAAGTTCATACTTTGATTATGAGCTTTAAGTTTAAGAGTTTAAGAGTTATAAAATACTAGCATCTTAAATCATGTTGCATTATTCTTAGTATCTCAAAGGTTCCATATTATATATAAACTTCTAAACCTCTCCTAGAGGATTCAAAGTCTACAAAGGTTATTAAATTCTTATTCTTCTTTGGTGCTTGTTTTCTTTCCAATATTTGCAAGACTATCCATGGTGAGTATAAACTAGTTTTATGTTTATTCTAATTTTAAAGTCTTTCATTGCTAAAATCTCAAGTTTTTAGAACTAATTTTGAATAAAAACCCAACAATTGGTATCAAGAGTCACTTTGCAAGTTTAATTAAATTTTATGATTTTTGACAATCTTAGTTTTTGGAAAATATAGATAACTTGTTTTTGTAAGAAAATGAGTTCACACATATTTTCTATGACAACTTTATAATTGTTATTTTATATAATAAAAGTTCATGAATCTTATGTCTTTTAAAGTTGTCCTAGAAAAACAAATGTTGTTTAATGTGTATGTTGATATGTATGATGTGCATAAACTAGCTAATGGCCATTATGTTGTGCGTGTTATAAAAATTGTTGTAATAATTTGTTTATTCATATGGTGTGTAAGTTTTCTTGGTTTATTTTTGTACGTAATAACTTAGTTTTTAGAAACAATTTATTTGTACAAAAATATTACAAGAAATGAAGTTGAAGCCATTTTTTGAAGACATGAAAATTTCAAAGTTAATAGCATGTTGTGAAGTTAGTGACAGTTTCTGAAAAGTGTTACTAAAGTTGATTTCTTAAGGGTTGTTGGACTTTTAGCAACAACTTCTGAAAGATTATATTTAAAGAAGTTTTTCCAATCTTTTTGTAACACTTGGATTTGGGTATGTTCCTTGTAGCCCATTTGTATTTTAATTATTGCATTTTGGTCCTTGGAGTTAGTATGTCGGGTGTACCATTAGGTACGCTTAGCATACTAGCTGAGAAGCTAGTACGTGGGGTGTATCACATAGTACGCTTAGTGTACTAGGTAGGATTATCGCGGGACCGAGGCCACGTATGTTGGGCATACGAGTATTACGTTGGGCATATAAGGATTGCATTGGGCATACAAGGGATTAATGAAACCCTAATTTTAGGGTGTTGCACTCTATATAAACTCCTTAAGTCCTTAGGGATGGCCTTTTTACCAACCTCCATGTAACATCCAAAATCCATGCATTTCATTTTAAGCCCTTAATGAATTTATAAGTTGCAAATCAGGACCCTCCATACGTTAGGCGTACATGTATATACGCTTAGCGTACACATCTGGATGCTTCGAGTAACTGAGGCTCGTACGCAGGGTGTACATGCATGTATGCGGAGCGTACGAGGCCAAATACTAAAACCCTAAATCTCGAACTTGATCCTTATTTAAGCTCATTTATGACCTTGAACTGTCTACCTTACCAACCTCCATTTCTTTCAAACGTTGCTAAAACCCTAGTTCCTTTGAGAGTGACTCTTGAGCTTTAAGGTACCTAAAGTAACCTCTTTTTTGGTGTGTTAGAAAGGAGAAGGAAGTGGTGAGCAAGTCCTGAACATGGAAGTGTTTGTAGATCCTGCATCTAGATTATCTTGGAGAGCATTTAGAGGTAAAAGTTTTACATCTTGCTAATCCTTTTACTAGTTTGAGTTAGGGTTTTGTAGAAGTCCATTTTTGGGTCCATGAATCCTCTCTTGTGAGTTTGAGCAACTCAGGAGGTTAGGAATGTTATATATGAGGTTCTTTGGCATGGTTAGAGCATAAAAATACTAACTTGATGATTGTTATGGCTCCATGCATGATATTAAGATCTTAAAGAGAGTCTTAATGGATAAAATGTAACATCCCGACTCTTAGGTATGAGATATATTGCTTTAAAGACGAATTATTCTTTGGAACTC